TCCGCAGCAACTATTCCCCGTGCAGCAACTAGCCACAAATCTCAATCAGGTAAGGATTTTTAATTTATAATGTATTGCATGTATCTGATCTATTTTTTACAACTTGTACCACCTTTCCCTTCCCACCTAAGTTTCTAAATCATCGACTCGTTTAAAGTAAGCTTGAAATCGGCGGCGGCCGGCGGCTGCTGTTGTACTCGCGCCGAATCCTCTCGGGATACGATCATCTGTTTGAATTGGTGAACGAAAGGGGCGAGCACGTGAGCGGTTTGTGCTAACTTGAAATCTTTATAGTTTTTACAACGGCAAATGGTTTTGATAAGGTTTCTTTGCCGTCCCCGCTCTTCGCGTGTGAGCCCTTCCATCCGATTGATGGTAAAATTAGAAGCACTAGTTGTATCACCGTATATTATGTATGTAGTCTGTAGTGTAATGAGTATTACCAGCGAAAGATAGCTAGTGATCTCCGTAGTATTATAAATAGTTAAATCGTCGACCTCTGTGTATGCCTGATTAAAAATTCTGCGGTATGTTTACTTAGCACCAGCTGCAGGAGCTGCAGCAGCAGCAGTTCCAGCAGTTGGCGGCGCAGCAGAAGTCGCAACAGTTCGCGGTTGACCTTCAGCAGCGACCTGACCAATATGTGCCTCTGGTCAGTACTTTATACTTTAATAACACTACATCACACGAAGCATTACCACGACGATTATTATAAAAATTGTTAAAAGTAATAATATATTGAAAAGTATTATTGAACATTTGAGAAAACTTGTGAATCCAATTTTATGATAATTTACTCATTGATGTTTAAGGCTACAAAACGACACCGAGACATCATCGGTCTCGCTGTCAATACTAACATTGTCTATCTACACTACACATGATCCTTCACAGCTGGCAGAGATATACGTTAATTTAATTTGTTCAGATATTGTAGCTTTTATTAGTAATTAGCGAACTAATAGACCGAAGTCAATAATTTTTTATACTGTATACCATAATGAAGTTTCTGACAATAGCAAACGTTTCTACATCATAACGTATTCAATACAAAATTGGCCGGGAATGATTGCGTTACTATGTATAGGTAGGTATGTCTTCACCAGTGCGCTTTCAATCGCTTCAAGTAAGTGAAGTATCGAGAACCGTGCCACCAGAGGGGTTGCCTATACACGTGCGTGCGGTATATTTAAGCGTAAGGAAAATATAAGAAAACACAACGGGATGATGATAAAAAAGTAGACCCGCATTTATTGCAGGTTTCGTGTTAAAAGTCGATATTGTATTCAAAAATTTTACACGAATGTTTAAAGCTAGCAAGTTTTTGAAATTGACAGTTCTATATCTAACCTGCCCGACATATAATAAACGAACGCGCCGTTGACAGATAACTTGCTACATCATACTAGATTTCTTATAATACTTCATAGCCTTCTGCTGTCTCTCGCGCACAGAGAGATTGAAAGAAATATGTATGTGTGCCCTGATAATTTCGGCCGAACGAAAACGTAGTAATAGAAATATTAAATTTGGTTTCACACATAAGATATAAATACCGATAAAGTATTACAATTAATTCAATCCACTCGTTGCAGTCGAGAGATAAAAAAAATATGTTTTTTTTTATATCGAACATAAATCAGGAGGGAAGACGTGGGATTCATAAATAGGGCTCCGAGCGGCATGCGTTGTCGAACTAGTTTTAGCTCGCGGAGTCACTGGGGCCGCTCGAGGCAAGGTGAACGGGAAAGCGTACTGGCGGAGACATGCGCCGACGGTTGCGTGTAGTGTAGTGAGCGTGCGTCGTCAAGTGCCGTCGTGTGCGTAGGGCGAGGAGGGCGCGGGCGCGGGCGGGGGCGCGGGCGCGGGCGCGGAGGCGCGCGAGCTGGGCGCCGTGCTGGCGTACCTGCAGCGGGAGGTGCCCTCGCTGGTGGCCATGCCGCCCAACGAACTGCGCTCGCTAGTGCTGCAGGTGACGGACACGCGGCCACTGCCCCCACCATCACTACACTACACTCTATGCACTCGGCCACCTATCGTCCTCTCTTTCTTATCAAATCGTACATATTGTTATTTTTTTTATACTTAAACGTATTCGACAGAAGTACACGCAACATAATATAATAATAGAAAAAAAAAACAGCCGCTCGTTAATCATTCTTGACTCTTGTCCGCGTTCTGAATATAATTACGAGTATTTTTTAAATATTTGCGAAGAACAGAGATTTCTGTACCTATCTCAGAAATAAATAGTATTCTGGTATTCAGCTTTTCTTCTTCCCCAGTTATTCTATCGAGTTTCTCCCTCACTCGAGTCTATGTTTCGCGGGTCAGACGGCGGCATTCTTCTCTCGTGGTGAACGATAATAAATCGTCTCGGAACACATCTCTCTTAATTAAAATATTTTTTGGAAATGAACGGGAAATCGCCGCAAAAGAGTGTCGAGCTCGGGCGTCAACTCTATAATACCGTTATCTAAAAGTTAGGGCGCGTCCGCCCGCCCGCGCGGGAACCGAACCGCGGCGGTGCCGGGGCCATGTCTTACGCTCTGAATGATGCGGTGACGCGCGCAGGTCATGCAACAGAAGTCGCACGAGATCCTGTCCGCGAAGTGCGCCGGCGCGGAGCCCGAGCCCGGCGGGGGCGCGGACGCGGGCGGGGAGCAGGGGGCGGCGGCGGGGGCGGAGGGCGAGGAGCGCACGCGCCGCCTGTTCGCCGCCACCGAGGAGGCGCTCGCCGCCGACTGGGCCGCCCGCCCCGACCACCTCCACCACCACCACCACCTCTTCGAGCGACCGGTACGTGCTCGGCCCGATCGCCTTTCTACCGCTCGCCGGTATTTTTTAAGCGGTGTATATTTAACGAGAGGTAACAGCCCGTTTCTCTACTCTTTCTCGTGCCAGCGAAATTATGACTCGATAACCGATCCGTCCGACCGATCAACCTGCATCTGTCCCTCGATCTTCCGCGAAATCTGCGAGGACTCCGTAATTCTTCTGCGCTTCAGAGTCCAGACGAGTCTGCCGGAGGGCTCCCTATTGCGAAAAACCGAAGTCTCCGTTACTGACCTAATATAATATCACTATTTTAGTTGCGAAAGAACAGCATCGACCTACAATAATGTTTTTTTTTTTTTTTTTCAAAAAGCGAACGAGTACCGAGGAACAGTACTGTAGGCGGGCGTACAGCTTGGGTTTAGCGGCGGGCGTGAAGGCCATGCGGCGGCGGCTGGGCACCGGCTCCCCCCGGCCGGACGAGCAGCCCGCGGACCTGCAGGGGCACTTCGCCCTGCCTGCGCCCGCGCCCACCCCCGCCCCCTCCGCCGCGCCCGCCATCACACCCGCGCCCGTACCCGCCAGCGCGCCCGCGCCCGCCCCGCCTCTACATTATGACGATTACCGGTAAAGCTATTTCCTCTTTCCACGTTTTTTGAACGGTTAATTCTTTTTTTTGTGTGACGATATCTATGATATCGCTCTTATTATGCCCCGACGAGCGACGGCGACAAGCTAAGTGACCTCGCATTATCACGAAATGATGCCGCCATATCGGCGTGGCGCTTCCATTCCATTACGACTTCGCATATATTTGACATCCGACTTACAGCGGTAAGACCGGGGTCCCCGGGCATAGGAGTGAGAAACGGAACAGAGACAGATCTCTATACGACCGCGTAGTGAAATGAAAGGTACATCAGTGCGAGCGAGAGGTGCACGTGCGCGTGTGCACTGGTTTATACAGGTTCATTCCGTATCGACCATCCCACAATTGGTTATTATTTTGCACGGTGTTTAGAACTTTAGTCTCTATTCTGTTTCTTTATTCTTTGCACCTGGGTTACCGATATCCCATTGTGAAGTGTGAAATGTTCACCATGTTCTATCGGAAACAGGTCGTGCACGTTCGTGCCGCCAGCACCGGCGCCGGTGCCCGCTTCGGTCCCGGCGGGGCCCGGGGCTCCGGGGCCGGGGGCGCTGGGGCCTGGGACTCAAGGACCGGGGGTGCAGGGGCCCGGGGCTCAGCCGGCGCCCCTCGCTCAGCCACCGACTAAACGAGACCCTCACCATCACACCAACACCAATGTCGCCGTGCGCAAGAAGCTCAAGGTGATAGATTCGATCGTTTCCTGGACGATCTTGAATATCAATTATTCAATTTTATTAACGCACACCTGAAGAGAACTAGGCGCGAGGCTCCTGTGATATTTCAGATATAGTGCATTCGAGGCGACGATCTACCCAAACGGTCGATCTGTCGTTTTTAGAGATTGACCACGGCAGATGAGGCGATCTCTAGATTTTTGTTATGGAATATGGAACAAAATATACCCACTTTGTAGGAGATTAAGTGCCATTCGTAATAATTATAAAAACACTTTTATTTTGTAATGGTTTGTGACGACTTTTGAAAACATCTAGCGAACACAGGTTGGCGGCTAAATAGGTCTGAAGATTTTTAAGAGGGTTTTGTGTTCCTTTTAAAGAAAATAAGATCTCTGCTTGAAATAAAATATTTAGCTGTTTTTTTTTTACTTTAAAGAAGCCATAAAACAATTATTTCTAGAAAACAAACAAGTTTTAATTGCTTTAATATTCAATCAACACAGTGGCGTCACACAATGGCGAGTCGTGTTTCATGTCACGTGACATGCCCTCGACGATCGATCTCTTCGAAGGAGGAAGGCTCGGAAGGGAGGTGATGCGATAAAACGGTGTTTTAAATTAACAATTGTATTCTCCGTCGATTCAGAGAGAACGTCGGTCTTCCGAGATTACGTCGATCCTTTTGAGTGATGTCTATAATAATGCATTCGTAATTAAAATTACGTGTGTTCGTTGGTTGATTTTGGAGTGTAACTGTTTTGACGTCGCAGGGGCGATGCGCGCAGACGCGGTTCGGCGCGGGCGCGGGCGCGGGCGTGGCGGGCGCGGGGGCGGCGGGCGCGGGGGGCGCGGCGGGCGCGCGGGGCGCGGGCGGCGCGGCCGAGGCGGCGGCGGCGGCGGCGGCCTACTCCGCCATGGACGTGGACGGCGAGACCGACTCCAACCACGACACCGCGCTCACGCTCGCCTGCGCCGGCGGCCACGAGGACCTCGTCGAGCTGCTGCTCTCGCGCGGCGCCGACATCGAGCACAGGGACAAGAAGGTACCTATCTCTCCACCGGCTCGCGAGCCCTCCGCTCGCCCCGTATGACCGCGTTCCCGATCCCGTGTGCAGGGCTTCACCCCGCTGATCCTGGCGGCGACGGCGGGCCACGAGAAGATAGTGGAGATCCTGCTGAACCACGGCGCGGACATCGAGGCGCAGTCGGAGCGGACCAAGGACACGCCGCTCTCGCTCGCGTGCAGCGGCGGCCGGTACGAGGTCGTCGAGCTCATCCTCAGCCGCGGCGCCAACAAGGTATGGATACGTTCATGTTTAAAATCGAATGAAAAATAGATAAATTGATAACCCGACGTGCTGTTGACTGTCCATAACGATTGACCTTTAAATGACAATTCGTAGGAGCATCGAAACGTGTCCGACTACACGCCGCTTTCGCTGGCGGCGTCCGGCGGGTACGTGAACATCATCAGGCTGCTGCTGCACCACCAGGTGATGGCGTGTTTGTTTATAGTTCTAATGTGCTAAACTTAGGGGTGATTAGTCTCGTGAAGGAGGTCTCCGATTAAATAAGTCAGAAAGGTAACGAACATGTAACGGTCGGAATCCACTGATCTAAGATGTTGCAAAAAAAAAATAACATCTTAAAATTTACTTTCAATATCTTTACTTCACTGTTTAAAAGACATAAGAGCGGACTTGGCCAAAAAGAGTATTTTAAGACATTGGAGAATGTTTTTATTTATATAAGTATACAGAAATCATCAATTCATATATGAGCATTGAAACATTGCAGAAACGGTTTTCCGTTGAAGAGCATAGGAGTGAGCCAATGTTAACAAATAATGCCGTGTGTGCATCAAAAGACATTCGTATAAATTCCGTTGGTAGTTTTGAACATGGTTAATGTGGTGTTTAGGCCGAAATAAACTCTCGGACCGGTTCCAAACTGGGCATATCTCCGTTGATGTTGGCGGCGATGAACGGTCACACGGCGGCCGTGCGGCTGCTGCTCGACTGCGGCTCGGACATAAACGCGCAGATAGAGACCAACAGGAACACCGCGCTCACGCTCGCCTGCTTCCAAGGTAACGCGCTCACACACTACAATCTAGATAAACAACATTATAAAAAATCCGTTATACGTCTTCGGTGACCTCGACATGACATTCGGCTAGAACGACGTTCATGCAGAGGACAAAAGAAAGCGCAACGACGCGGTACAGGAAGATTATCTCTCCTGAGCTCGTCCGGCGACGGCGTCGGACACGGGAGCGGGGGGAGAACGGAGTTCCGAGCCGGGTGTCATGTTAATTCGTTCGACTCGATCGAAGCGTTCTTATTTAAATTCGCAAAACGATAGTCTTTTTTTTACATAGCATGGGTACGGTGACCTTTGAGATATGAAGCTTTTAGTGATGTGGTAATCAAAAATCAATATACAAAAATTTCATATTTTAGTTCATTTCTAATAGATATAAATCGATTTTGAGGGCAATGTAAAAAACAAGAAGTTTATTTTATAGCTATATTAAAAACCGATGACCAATCGACAGCGTAGTCATATGCCACTGATCATAACATAATAAACTTGTGGCATACGACTACGCTGTCTTTGGGTCATCGCTATTTTAATATAGCTATCGCTATAAAATAAACTTCTTGTCTCAAACTTTTTAAAGCGTAATTTGGTTGTAGTAGGGTTTTAGTTTTTTAACTTAATTTTATTAAATTAATTTTTAAATATATATTTACAATGTGTCAATGAAGCCCTTTCATTTGATAGCCTACACGTAATGATTTAATAATGTATTTTTTTAGTACCTCGGTTTTTTGTGGGCGCTGTTGCCAATTTAATGTAGAAGTATTTCGAAGTTCGAAGATAGAGGAACAGATGAATATTCTTTTCGCTTCGCCGTACTCGAGTAAAAACGAGATTTAATAAAAGTATTTTTTCGTTAATAAGATGAACCAGAGTCGGCTAAAATTACTTTATTAATCACCTCAATTATTTCAGTAATTGAGGAAATTAAAAATTTATTTGTATCTTAATTTGTAAATTTAAATAAATATCACACTATGTCTTCGGATTATTACATCTATTCGGAAATGCAAATTGCGTGAAATGAATTCGTTTACAAACCTTCCCGTCCTATGTGAAATGGAGCACAGCGTCAGCACTGCGTGACGGGGATGTAACGTGTGTCGGGACGTGTGGTTGTGTGAGCAGGACGGCACGAGGTGGTGAGCCTGCTGCTGGACCGCAAGGCGAACGTGGAGCACCGCGCCAAGACGGGGCTGACGCCGCTGATGGAGGCGGCCAGCGGCGGCTACGTGGAGGTGGGCCGCGTGCTGCTCGACAAGGGCGCCGACGTGAACGCGCCGCCCGTGCCCTCCTCCAGGGACACGGCGCTCACCATCGCCGCCGACAAGGGGCACACCAAGTTCGTCGAGCTGCTGCTGCAGAGGTACGAAACATACACGAAAACTACAAGTCAAGGTTTCTATGCTTCAAGCGGCACGGCACTAGTTTTATTAAACTGCTATCATAGATTTAAGTGATGTTTAAGTACGGTTTGAGATGTGCTCAATTTTCAAAAATCTCAATTAAGTCGATGACATATAAATACAGAAGCCTTTATTTGGTTGCGAAGCGAACGGTATCATCCGCCGGTTTCGAGGCATCGACATCTCTGAATACCCAGTTCCGGTTGTATAATTCGAAGGTTAGAGAGTGATGTAATATTAATATGTCGTCGACCGTTCTATACTTGCAGGCGAGCGGCGGTCGAAGTGAAAAACAAAAAAGGAAATTCCCCCCTGTGGCTGGCCGCCAACGGAGGCCACCTGACCGTGGTGGAGATGCTGTACACGGCCGGCGCGGACATAGACTCGCAAGACAACAGGAAGGTAACCACCGCGCCGACGTCACCCACGTCGATCGTGAAAATTACTCATAATACGAGCGCGGCGCCTCTTTCCAGGTCTCCTGCCTGATGGCCGCTTTCAGAAAGGGCCACACCAAAGTAGTCAAATGGATGGTCGGGGTCGTCACGCAATTCCCCTCCGATCAGGAAATGACGAGGTTCGTATTCGACGCAGATATTTAAAAACGCCTTTTGTTTTCCAGGGGCGCCTGTCGTGGCTGTCGGGTTATTTTTGTATGATTTTATTTATTCACGAGCTCAATCTAAGCAGTGAGTTTAATTTACGGGTACCCGGGCTAATTTAAAACCTGTCGCAATCCCTTACTAAGGTATTGTGATTGTGTTGCGATTAATGGAACTATGTAACTTTTAAAGAAGCATTCGATTTTAGAACTAATGATGATTTGAATAGCATATAGGATATCGTTTGACATTTCTCAATAATAACTTTCCAAAATGTTTGAGTCTTTAATGTTTCTCTTAGACAATATGATTATTCTACTCCATTTAAAATAGTTATCATTTTAAAAAGGCCATAAAATAAATATTTTGGAAAAACAAACGCACTTTCTTACCTTAAATTTAAATTTGAACTTACTTTACTAACGTGTGAAAGCTGTCTGACATATTTATGACGTCACTCGTGTACATAACACAAAACAGATGCACGGAGTAGTATATAAAAATGATGATAATAAAACAAGAACTGGGCCATTAAACGGTCGATTACCAAATACAAATATATAAATAAGATAATAACAGTGTCATTTGGGAATTTGACGTATAATAAATAGGCGTTATTTACGATAATCTGACAGCTGTCGTCACACATTGGCAAGTCCTGTTTCAAGTCACGTGACACACATACAAAGAATATGTATGTGTGTCACGTGACTTGACTTTTAATTTTGAAATATTAAGATAGTCCAACCTTATGTTCGATCATCAGAAGCGTAACGTGCGTGCGTGTGTGCATGTCAGGTACATCTGCACGATATCGGACAAGGAGCTGCTGGAGAAGTGCCAGGAGGGCGTGCGCGTGATCCGCGCCGCCAAGGAGATGCAGGCGGCGCGCGCCAACCAGAACGCGACCATCCTGCTGGAGGAACTCGAGACCGAGCGCTGCCGCGAGGAGAGCCGCCGCCAGGCGCAGGCGCGCCGCCGCGAGCGCAAGAAGAAGAAGAAGATGGAGAAGAAGGTGCCTGCCCGTCTGCCCACCCGCCTCCACATACTAACGCGTCGCCGTTCCACATGCTAACTGTGTTCACGTGTCCGATTTACAGGAGGAGCGCCGTAAGCTCCAAGCGGAGAACGATAAGAATTCGATGTACAGCGAGAAAGCGCTCGGCGACTCCGAGGGCGGCGAGCCGGACGACGAGCCCGCCGCCAAGGAGGAGGGCGACTCCGGCATCGACGCTAACTCACAGGTACGCACAGACACACAGGGCTTTTGGTTTCTTAAGTGTATTCGTCATTATTTTAAGTTATTCTAACGTCCTAATATATCATGGAAAAGAAACGTAAAGATGTTTTAACATTCTGTAATACAACTGAGCTAAAATAGAGATATGCAGTAAAAAAACTTTCCAATAAACAGAGTTTACTATTAGTAAAGAATTGTATCTTATTTTTACCCGTTTTTATTTAAATTATTTATTTTTTTACCTAAAAATTTACTAACGCGCACAGTGATGTGATATAACTCAAAATTATACTAATCTGCTTAGTTGATTTAGGCGTTTCCTAGTTAAGCTATGCCTTGTTCTATATTAATAAAAAGGGGTGTTAGATTTATTTCCATATTTAGGTACTAGTCAAACCTCATAAATCTTTGATTTTAATGCATTAATTTTTAAAGTAGCTTCACAATTATCTCGAGTTCTGGCATCTCTTATAGCCTCAAAACATTATTTACAAATCAAGATATTGTTACATTTTAAGCAAAAACTAATTTAAATTATCACTAATGGTGGATAGATGGTGAACCTTTTAAAAAAACATCATGACATCTCAATCAATGTATGGAAGGTGGGCAAGACTCTGTGCAATCTCCCTTTACAAAACCCTGATGCATGGTATTAAGTTAATAAAAGTGACTATTCCCTTTTTTTGTCTTAAAATATTAAAAAAAAATCTAAACATATTTATCTTACTTGAAACTTATTGTTTCTTTACAATACCTAATGATGTCATATCATGGCAGCTAAGATTAATACCCAGACTGGGTTGATACCCAGACTATGATTAGCCCTTGTTAGACTTCAAAAATTAGATGTGTTTTTTTTTAAATATTTTTTCATTTTATGAACTGCAACACTTTCAAACTGCTAAGCTCTATATCTCGACTGTTTATTTTTAGATTTTTTTCATTTATAGATATAGATAGTGCGCGTGAAAATACAAGAAATCAATAGTACTTAAAGTAAAGCTTTATCTAGATGGCAGATGTCATTACAGTGTGACTCTTTACGATATAATCCATATTTTTATCAATGAAATACTTTACCTTCTAAAAAGTATCTATTAACACGGTTTATGAAAATATTGAATTTTAATTAGAGTTTGTAATTACCAATATTTATATAAGATAAGTTCAATTTTTCTTATAGCATAACACAATGTGATTCATCTAAAACAGAGAATCGACAATTAAATGTTCATGCCTTACTCTTCTTACTACTTAACCTTTATGGTCTTCTGCACAATAAATGAATACAAAATTCACAAACTTATCTTGAAACTAAACTTCATCTATAAATGGCTTCCTCCTATGACACAGACTCATGTAATTTATCTTACGTTTACACACAGACTACTGCACTAATCCGCAGGTACTCAAATTAATGTCCATGTCATATTCAACGTCACAAAGCTTATATTTATATATAATAGGGGTGTAGACCATTTTTATAGGTATTTTATTTTATAGATATACATGAAATATATATATATAATAAAAATATTTAAAAATGTCATTCATATAATAAGTTAAAACTAAAAATTCATTTAATTCTAAAAATTTCTCACGAAAACGGCCCTTTTATCATGGCGTTACGGCCCTCTGAAACTAAACTATGTATACTTACGAGGGTCAAACTGAAAGTTCTTAGAAAATCAAAAACTGATTACATTAGCCAGTTATTAGTTTTATTATATCTTTTCAAAATATTGTCCATTCACGTCAATACACCGCTGCATGCGATGGAACCACTGGGAAAAGCACTTTGCCCACTCGTCCTTAGGGGTCTCTTCAATGGCATCGCGATACGCAGCCACCGCTTCTTCAGCATTCATAAACCGCTTTCCTTTAAGTTTTTCTTTAATTTTTGGAAATAAATAAAAATCACAAGGCGCGAGGTCGGGGCTATACGGCGGGTGACCCAGTAATTCAACGTTTGATGTCGCCAAATAGTCGATCGTTCGCTTGGCGGTGTGCGACGAGGCGTTGTCGTGGTGAAGGAGGATCCTACTGCGAGGTCGTTTCTCTCGAACTTTTTCCAAGACAAGTGGCAAACAATTGGTAGTGTACCATTCTGCAGAAACTGTTTTTTGATCCTCTAACACAATTGTTGCAAAATGACCTATCCTTCCAAAGAACGAGGCCACCATTTTTTTTCCCGCACTTCGATCTCTCTTCACTTTAGTTGGCAACTCCTCGAAAGGAAACACCCACTGAGCAGATTGTCTTTTGGTTTTAGGATCATAACAGTAAATCCAGCTTTCGTCACCTGTTAGTATGTCGAACACAGCATTTGAGTCACCTCCGTTAAATCTTTCAATCATTTTACGACACCAATCCACACGATGGAGTTTTTGAGCCTCAGTCAAATTATGAGGTATCCACCGGGCGCAAAGCTTCCTGACCGCTAAATGTTCGTGGAGGATTTTGTGCACTTGACTCATACCGATGCCTAAGCTTGTCCGAATCTGTTGATAGGACACTCTTTTGTCAGTCTCTATCATACGCCGCACAACACAGATGTTATCTTCAGTCGTCGCCGTAGAAGGCCGTCCCTCACGTAAATCATCAGTGAGATTAGTGCGACCACGTTTAAACTCATTAAACCAGTTGTAAACAGTCGCACGAGATGGGGCTTCATCGTGAAAGGCCAATCGTAGTCTATCATAACTTTCTTGTTGACTTAAATGACATCGAAAGTCATAAAAAATCATTGCACGAAAATTTTCTCGTGTTAAATTCATGATGACGTGACACAGACAATTTTCAATTTGCCGCCAAATCGTAAAACAAATGACAAATGAATGAAATATATACTCAGTAATATTGGCAAAGAGTTATATTTTCAAATTTTAGAATTATTTTTTTATTATATTGTTTATAAGTGGCCAGTTCTAAGAACTTTCAGTTTGACCCTCGTATGGTTGAATTCTCTAAAGTTCTGATATGAGTAAGAGATGTGTGATGTGACCGCACACAGCGCATGACGACAACAAGTATATATATATATTTCATAATGAATATAAACAATATTACAAATATAATAAGCATAAAAGTGTAATTATCAATAATAGAATAATAAACAATACCAGAAAAAAATGTATTTATTTTCATTTACTGTCTACACCCATATTATCGGAGAATAATTATTTGACAACAATTTTTTAAATACAGAAAGGCTTTCATAATACTGGATCGGACAACTTTCTAAAAAGTATTTAAAAATTAATCATTATGGTGCTTATTACCACAAAATGAAAAATACAAGAAATAAATTAATAATATTTTATGTAAATTAAACTCAATATGTAATCAAAACTCTGTTTAAAATTTAACTGTTTAAAAAACCGCGTAAACGGCGACTATGAGGACTTGACGTCACTTGTGAGGTAAACAAAAAGGATTTTCAATGATAAAAATAACTATAATCGTCTGCTGTACTGTTTTATATATTTTTGAGTTAAAAACTCAAAAGAGTTAAAAGTTAAAAACTCAAAAATATATAAAACAGTAAACTGACCCTTATAACCTGTTAAAATCATTAAAATTATTTTGCATCTTGAATGTTTCTCGCGCTTTTCCTAGATAATGTTACTGCCAATTTTTACCCACAAATGACGTCACTCGCTCTGATTGGTGTCAGATCACACGCTCTGGTTTATTTGACGTGAGACACAAACTATTTATTTAAAAATATAAAAATTGTTATTTAGTAAAACCCTTCGGCGAATAATCTTTAAACTATAAGAGAGTTTTCAAGCAAATACAATTTATTTATTTTTTTTCATTACTGCAATGAAACTCGCCTATTGTATCAACATATATTTATATTGTTTTACAAAAATTATACAAAAACAAATAAAGAAAGAATTAGCAGTGAAATCATATTAAATAATTTTAAAATATTATTTAAATGAAAAAAGGGAGCTTATTGTATATATTTTTTACAGGTCCATCTTAGACAACTTAATAAAAAAGTCATTTGTTAGTTGTTTAATAACAATTCCCCTTTAATAACAAGTCCTAAAGTACAAAAAAAGTTTCATTAGTCAAGATAACTTATTAAATCTTTAAGTTTCGTAGTCGTCTGTCAAAGAAATCAAGTTGTTTTAATATATAGTATTTGAAGACGCCCTTTACGGCCTTAGGCAGGCTATGCAGGGAGGGAGATCGAAATCTCTTTAAAAACGTGGGTGGACTGTAAGGAGCGGTCAAGATAAATAAATAATTAAATTAGTGGGTTTTCGCGAGGTAAGAGCTGGTGACAAGTACAAAATAAATGGAAATATAAGGGGAGAGGCACTGCACTTACTTGTAGTCAGTATGGCGCAATGGCGGCTCTCGAGCATAGGCGGCGTCTCCTTCCTCAGTATCACGGCGCTGTAGGTGGACTCCAACAGGCGCAACAGGCCTGTTTACCTGGCCCGTCTCCTTCAAAACACTTAAACGCTGTTATGGGCGTAATAAAACGCCTCGGTAGCTTCAGTGAAAACGTACTGAGAAAAACCGTCGGCGTGGCGGTTAAGTTTTATACACTCAAAATAGCACAGAACATCAGCACCTCTTCACTAACACTTCTCACCGGTACAATATGCGGAATTATATAATTTTATGACACGGCGAAACACAGAAGAACGATTACAATGCGGACGCGGCGGGCGAATTTCTTCAACTGGCGACTCCTACTGAAGACGCCATAGATGCAGCGGGAATATGTTCTGTCTCTCTCATTTTCTCTTATTTTTGTGCAGTGCCAAAGAGGGTGAAGACAGGAAAAGTACTAATGTTAATCAGTGAGAAATACAAAATGAAGATACTTATTGTAAAAGCGGCGCGAATAATAAAATTAATTATTAATATTAAATAAATGTATGTTGGCGTTAGCAGTATTGTTCGGTCAATTTATGATAGAATAATCTGTTTGTTAGCAAAAACTTCGTCCTTTTGTGCTTGTTAATAAATAAATATAAATTATTTATTGATATGTGCATGTATAATGATACAGTATATCGTGTCGTAGGGCTCATGCTCTTCCTCGGACGTGAAGGCTCCGCCCACGCAGAGCACTAAGTGTAAGAAGAAGAAGAAAGAGGAGAAGAACTCGCCCCCGCCCCAAGCGCCCCCCAACAAGAAACACCCGGACAAAGTGAGTGGATCTGCTTAAATAAATTGTATCATTTTACATAGAAAACAAACTCATTTAAGAAATTCCACATTTTAAAATAGCTTATTTATTTTTTTAAGTGATGGCATCCCGTGATTTCATAACCATACCTAATGATCCGTCGGTACCCCTGATTGATTTTATCATAATTTTCATAAACGTTAAACATGTTCCACAGAGCAAACCTAAACTAGACGCAAAATCTGACAAAGAGAACCCTCCGAAAAGTGACAAGAAAGAGAAGGAGAACGTGGCGCCGACCTCCGCGCCCGCGCCCGCCTCCGCCCCCGCCCCCGCCCCCGCGAGACTCACAGACCGCAGGGATAAGGCGCAGACCACACTGTATGTACACTCACGGTTCACATTATATCGTCACCTAACGCTGCTCTCGATTATTTTGCAAAGCTAGCTCCTGTCAAAAGTGATTTTATTTATATTTCTAATATCAATTTAAAACCTCTTTAGTAGAGTAGAATACTACTATTTCTAATAAGTGTCGAGTCTTTGTAAGAAGTAAAAACTAACTCATTTCGAGATTTCCATATCAGCAGTTACCTAATATATGAAAATAACATTTTGTCAGTATCACAAATTGGATCCAACTGTATAGCCATTTGTAGAGAACATCTCGCAAGTGATTTTTATTTGAATATTACTGAATCAGTTTTTTCTTGGGTGATCATAATCTAGCGATTGTGACTTTTCAATAAAATGTGACCGATATTATATCAAAACATATGCCCGATGCAACTTACGAATCTTCGTGTTTCTAAATTCATCTGCAAATTTTAAAAATAGTACTTTGTATTTACGGTTCCACATGTGCTCGGTGGCTGCTTGCTGTGTACGGTGCAGTGTTTGTAAACTGTAGTGAACTCGTGAAACTTTCATGCTGCTTTTTTCTTATTACTAGTGATTCGCGTCGCGTGATAATATAGATTTGAATATAAAATTCAATTTAAGAAAACTATAATTACTATTGTAAACTAACACTACGCTTTCAATGTTTGCGGATTGGTGCTTTTATTGTCACATACTGTTAACATTCGAGGTTCATCGAATATTGGAATTTACAAAAGGGTATAGGATTAAAATTATTATTCTTGCAGAAAACCCGAAGAGGATATCCCTAAGAGCATAACAGTACAGAATATTAATAAATATGGCGGTAACTCTAGAAAGAGTCAAGTGTTCGAATCCACTAGGCACAATGTGGGCAAAGATGAGTTTGACACGTCCGACAAAAGTAAAAAGATTCACAAGTATCATCAGTAAGTTGAGATTTTTTGTCCACTTCATGAGGCATCATACTCAAACATTACATATTAGACGTTGCTTCTGATCGAAAGAGTCGCTTCGCGGGGCACACGCGGACCACTTTTATACGTGATACATTCTATATATTCTCCTAACCTGTCGTCACACGTCGAGGGGGGTCACACTCCCCGCATAACGCCACGAGTAGTTTGAGATAGTATTTTACACTCGCTCAGATATTATCTCGGGAATATATTTATTAAATGGTAGCAGAACTATCACATATGGAATGCGTATGTAACGGCCACCACTGTATCGCAGCGATGTGGTATCGCATCGTCCACGCACCGAACGTCACCACACAAATTACATTATATTTTCTCAGAACAGAAAAAAAGAGTACAAATCACCCCCGGGAGGGCGGGACGACACTCGCGCGGGCCTAAGTTAAATCGTTATAATATTTAACGAAAAAAATGAATTCATCGTTTTATCTTTGATAATCGTGATGATACTAGAATTATCACTCGCGCGCTATAGGATCAAAGAACTGATCGTGTTGCGTCGACGGTCCTCACTCGAGGGAGTAAGAAGCGACGTACACAAAATAACGGGCGTCCTATCGTTTTTTAATCACGGAGCAATCTAAAAGAGGTGAAACTTAAATTTTAATTATTACAAATACGGGTGTTATTATCTCGCTAATCGTTCCATTTCAACTCGTCGGGTTCGAACGGTCGTTCCGATTCTTTCACTGTTTTTTTCTGTTCGGGGACGACGAGGAGTCACCGCCTGTTTCCTCTGGATGGAACGGGTCGACAGTGCGATCTGGGGAGTCAGAGGGAGCCCGGAGAAAGTACTTTGATTTTAAATTTTAAAGCGGTATGTACAGATACGTGGGCGAGGGCACGGCAGAGGGCAAGAGCACGTCGCCCCGCGGCAGCGCGGGGGTGGGGGGGCGGCGCGAGGACGGCTGGAAGGAGGTCGTGCGCAAGTCCAGCGTGCAGGCCATCTCCGCCGTCGAGCCGGGGTACGTACCGCCGCCATCGCCGCCACCGGGAGCGGGGCCGACGCGTTCGATGCGTGCTAACCGTGTGTCGCGTGTGTGTGGCAGGTGCAAGCGAGTGTCGGTGGCGTCGCACGCCATATCGCGCGTCATCGGCCGCGCCGGCACCAACATCAACGCCATCCGCGCCGCCACCGGCGCCCACATAGAGGTCGACAAGCAGACCAAGGGCCAGGGCGAGAGGATCATCACCATCAAGTGAGACCCCCGCCCCTCCTCCTCCTGTACACGCAGATGCGATATCTCGGTTCGCGATGCGATGTCTGTGATCGGACGACGCTGTAAGGTAACGCTCGTGACGTGTGCAGGGGCTCCGCGGAGGCGACGCGCCAGGCGGGCGCGCTGATCGCGGCCATGATCCGCGACCCCGAGGCCGACATCGCCGCGCTGCTGCCCGCCAAGCCGCCCAAGGCGCCGCAGCCGCCGCCGCCGCCGCCCAAGCCCGCCAAGGCCGCCCCGCCCAAGGTGACGATACTTTCTAGCGTCACTAAATATTTCCCTAGGCCGTCGAGCGCGAGCACCGAGCGCCGGTCACCCGACGGAGATTCCCGCATCCGACGACGGAGACGTATTCGCTCTACGGATCGGAGGAGGACATCGGGGGCGAGAAAAGATTTCGGACGTCTTCAATTATGTCCACATGAGGTTCCGTTTCAACTTTCGAAAAGATTTATGTTTTTCGTGAACGATAGTAAAAATCGGTCTAGTCGCCGAAGACGATCTTGTAAGAATTATGAGCGAGCGTATTCTCTGTTGCAGAGCGCGAGCGGCAGCGGCGGCGCAGGGTCGAGCGGCGCGGGCGCGGCGGCGGGCAGCCGCAGCACGCCCCCCGCGCGCGCGCCCGCGCCCCCCACGCCCGCCCCCGCCCCCGCCCCCGCCGCCAAGCACCACCCCGCGCCCCGCCCGCCCGCCGCGCGCTCCCACGGTCTGTATGCACACGCGCACACGAGCGCCTTAAATTTTCTCAATTTCAAATGTTGCACCAAATATAACATTAGTATCGACATAAACACGCGTAATCTGATTTCAAGTCATAAAATTGCATGATTATGTTCCTATACGGGCGTCGGTCCATTAAGTTAAATATTATATAGCATATCACATATCTCTCGAGACAGTGATCGGCTCGGTTGCCCAGTCTGCCTCTTTGTGATCGACCGTTGGACCGATCGGTTCGTTCCTTATCGATACATATCTGTCATAAAACTATCCGTTTAAATAGACAAGAATGCGTAAAATTAAAATAGTAAGAAAATATTTCCCGGCTGCGTCGACAGCCGTCTGGTCTAATATTCTACGTATTTTTAAAACCGACGTTTTATATTAATTTCGGTGTTCGGTCTTCAGGGCGCTTATCTGAAGATATGTATGTGGGGGCAGGATCGATAGGCGAGAAGCGGGCCTGCACGTCGACGGGCGCCTCGGCGTCTCCGGGCACGGGCGGGACATCCCCTGGGGCGAGTGGGGCAGGCGGGGCAGCCAAGCCGGGCACGCTGTCGTATACGGGCGCCATCGTGGGCGCGCGCTCGCATACGTTCGCGGCCAAGCTCACCGCGCCGCCCGCGCCCGCCCCCGCCCCCGCGCCCGCGCCGCCCGCCCTCGCCCTGGCCGACCTCAAGCCGCGGCAGACTCCGCAGGTATATATATATAGTCGCTTCTGGAACGAATGACGATTTGAATGAACGAGAAGCACGATGGAAAATTTGCCAAATTATTTTTCTATAGGTTCCAGAGACATCGCCTTGAACTATTCCGATTAACTTCGAATCGACGATATCGCTCATTCGTTATCTTTTATAAAACGTCGTGATCGCTATTACATGAAGTTCGTGAATATCTTTCTAATGTCAAATCAAAAGGATCGTGGTAGGTTTCAAAATTGAGCAATCGCCCCCGGCTCGTAGATGGTTTAAATGTAGTCATTTCTATTTACGAAGGCTCGAGTTGAAAACGCGCCTATAATATTTTAATGTAATAAAATGGATGAAGAAACCATATTTTATTACCTTTACTTTCGAATTACTCACGTCGAATGTTGCACCGAGTGACTTTTATTGATATGAAATTATATTATTTTGTAATGTCTATCCTAATCGCCCTTCCATAGGGAATTTTTGAATTTATAAAATCGTCAGGGAGTAGTATCGGTGATACGTGAGTTGTGTGTGAAGGTGTAGTATAGTATAGTATAGCATAGCATTGGTGGTGTGCAGGTGGGCAGTCCGCTGTCGGAGGCGTCAGCGTCGCGCGCGGAGGAGGACCACCCCACGCCCGAGCGGAGCCTGCAGGTACACGCACTAGTATAATCCAAGCAAATTCCTAATGCGCCTGGCCGCGCCGGGTTGTGTTGTTCTAATCTCAGAATTTTGTTGTTTTCGTTGTTGTCGATTATTATGATTAAGTTTTGTTGTTACTCGTTATACAGTGGCGTAACTATACCGTTTGAGGACCGTGACAAATTCATCGGATATTCAATTTTTTTTTACTAATTGTCGAATAATAAATTATATATAATATTTTAAATAATAACTTGGCAATATTATATTATATTATATAAAGGCTATATACTTAGGATTTGCTACACCCTTACAGGGTGTCACATGAACTGTAAATATAAATGTAACATCTTTATACTTGTGACATGCAATACATGAATAAATAAATAAATAAATGCCAGGAGTAAGGAGTCTTCTCTGACCGGGGGCCCCTTCCGACTTGCCACCCTGTAGTTACACCATTATCGTTATGCTTGACTAAAATGACAACTGCTATTATGATTTTTACCGACACGTTAACCTAATTTCACTATAAATAAATATACCTAATTTCTCTCATTCCATTATTACTTTTAGCTATGTTTAAAAAAAAACGTCCTTTCAGTTTGTTTTCGCGTTATTACAAAGTAAATGTCTTTTTTTTCCATATATCTCAATATTAACATATAAATTGACAATTTGCAAAAATTTATACTCGTACAATAAATTAACAAATTAATAGTTATTAAATTATTTTGAGGATTATTTATTAATATATAAATAATTGAGAAATAATAAATCTCTTGCAATTTGTGCTATCTATACATTCTATTTTTAAATGACATGACACGGATATTATTTAGACAAGATTCCAGCGTATTGGCAATTTATGGGACTTATACCACCCAGTATTGTGGTACGAGGGCGGGCGAACGGTCACAATACACGGGTGTGTGGAGAGCGGTACCTATTAATAACTGGCAAGGCTCTCGTGATACTGTGTGCCACGCTTGCCCGCTTCGCCTGCCCTAGGAACCGACTGGAGTTGAAATATTTGTCTATTGTTGTACTCTATTATCAAATAAGGTATTGATGTGGCCTCTCTTAAATAGTAGTGATCGCCGTTTTTACCCAAATGCAAAGAAAATTTTATGTTATAATATTCTACCTCGCGATACTATGATATCTTGCAACTTCATAATCGACTTTATAAAATATCATGAAAACTTCTCTGAACAGATGAAGTTCGGTACATAAAAATTTTGTTTCAGTTGAGTCCCGATAATTCGAACACGTGGAATTCCAACGACGAGAATACTTCAAATCCTTCTGCAGCTCTACACATCAACACCACCCCGCAGGTAACGCGAACATCTTAGTATTCTGCTAATATCGAGTTCCGGGGGTTCGGTCAAATAGGGTGATGCCGACGGTGTATGAATAGTATTCTACAACGCAGCGAGTAGCCTTAACTGTACCAAGGATCCTAATAGGTTCCATTAGTGATCTGCCAAGAGTTATCGCAACAGACGTACCGATCAAGTACAGTAATTTTCCCAATTACTATTTATTACTACGTAGCACTACAGTATAATTATAACTAAGAACAATTAAAACCTATGTAAGCACTAAATGCTCACCCCAGCGGGATTTAGATCTTTACAATTTAAAATATCAAAATTCAAAACGTCTTTTAT